GTTCCTCTCGGCGACGTGTGTCTCCGTCGACGGACTCTCAGGCCATGCCAGCTCAGCCGCTTGCTTGACACGCCGACGTTGCCAGAGTCACTAGCCCGAGCTTCTTTGCGAGAGAAGTTTCATCAGCTATTTTTTAGAGCAAATCGGGGCGAGTCAAGATCGGAGATCGGGGAAATTGAAGAAGGGACTACGTGTCCCATCTGTCTCGATGAAGTAGAGAAACGGCAGAGAATAGCGGCCTGTGCGACGTGTCGAAACCTGATTCACGAAGAATGCTTGGTGAGGTGGAAGAGAAGCAGAGGGAGGAGGTCGGCGAGTTGTGTGATATGTCGGGCAAGGTGGCGGGACCGAACTGATCAGGACAAATATCTCAATTTGGCGGCTTACGTTGCCGAGGAAGACGTGGGTGAAGATGGCGGCGGCACTGCCGGTCTCTGTGCCGGATAAATCATTGGACGTCCCTGGGGACTAATTTGCACGAGACAGGAAATTAGAATTTGTATTAAAAAAAAATTAATTTAACAATCCATTTGTGAATACATTTCGTAATTAATTTGTTACTAGCAAAATCAGTTTCAAGCTTGGCTTATGTCGCTAATCAGAATTTTTTAGAGCAATTATATAAGCATTATCAAGGGTTTTTTTTTACTAATTTTTTTATATCTAAAAATCACATTTATTTTTAATTAATTTAAAATTAAATTGTCTCGAATTCATAAAAAAACCTCTCATAAGTCATAATTAACGATTAATGTACCAACAATAATTAACTGTGAATTAAACGAAAGAGAAGTTAGGGAGAAATAACCTCAATTAAGCACAAAATAGGATTTATTACATTTAAGTAATTTAAGAGATGAAAAAAAAAATTATTTTTCATACCACAACTAAATATAAAAAAATGAAAACGGAATTTGTCGTCAATTTTCGTTGATTAACAATTTAAGATGTTAACAAATATTCTATGGTCTTCTATTTTACAGGTTCATCCACACAAACTATAAAATATAAGTAAAAGCTGGAGGCCATGCACGACACGTTTTCCTTATAAATTCGTCTTTAGTTAAAAATTGATTATTATTATAATATTTTTATTTTAAAATAATAATTATTTATTTAATTTTTAAATTAGAAATTTAAAAATTATTTATAATTTTATTTATATTATTTTAAAAGATAAAAATAAAAATGAAGTTCTTTTTTATAATAAAATAGTGAATTAAAATAAATAAATAATAATATTAAAATAAAATATTTATTTGACTTAAATAAAATAAAATAAGCACAAAATTAGTCGGAAGTGTAACATTTTATATGATGTGTACTTCCTTATAAATGAGCTAAATTCCGAAATTACCCTGCAGATTCAAGATAATAACCACCTTGGAGTGAGCGGAGCCTGAAATAGGCAATATCCGATCTCCTCTGGCTGTTTTCATTTAAATACTGCTACCCCCGTGGTTGTGTACTGCTCGTCGGAGAAAATGGAGAATTACGGTGCATTTTCAGATTCCGGCAACTTGTCTAGCAAAGTCGTTGCCGTCGCTGCTGGTGAAGCTCACACTCTCGCTCTAACAGGTGAAATCGGTTATACTTAGATGAGAAAACTTGGGATTATTTCTATAGCGTTGTTTCTTCTTCTGTTTACAAGACATGGTGAATTTGCGTATGGTGCCTGTTTTCTTTTTGTAAATGTATTGTGGGATGATTTGGTTGCAGGGGATGGGCGCGTGTTTTCATGGGGAAGAGGGATGTTTGGGAGGCTTGGGACCGGTTCAGAAGCCGACGAGCTTTTTCCGGTGGAGGTTAAGTTTGGGAATTCTGAGCTGAAGTTTGTAGCCGTAGCTGCTGGTGGTTACCACAGTCTTGCTCTCGCAGGTTAGTTTCATGGTTTATTTGTAGTTTGATTCTTTTTAATTTGCCGTTCCAAACCGCGATTTATGTAGCTTTGGTGTTTGTGGAAATGCCACAATAAATTTTGCAATCAATTTGGGTATTTGTAACAACAAGTAAGCACCTTTCCCAATTGCGCATTCTGTCTATTGTTTTAGTGCTAATTGACTACATGAAAGGAGAATCACGAGATACAAATGATAAATTTGGGTATTGGTAAGGTTTATCAACTTCTTGACTATGATAACAGTGAAGGAATAGAGAACTAACCTGAAAATATGCAGTCTCTAATTTCCCTTGTTTCTATCATGGCAGATGATGGATCGGTTTGGTCTTGGGGTTACAACATCTGTATCCTTTATGCTGGATGCATGTTTTATGCGCCCCTTTTTTTGCACCCTCTGCATTTTTCCCCTTGTTTTTATTTTATTGATTTTGATCATCCCTTGACTGTCACATGGATGGCCAACTTGGTAACAGTGGAGAGAATTCAGTAGTACCAAGTCTGATAGATCAGTTTCTTGAGTTGGGCTCTCCCCATCTACCCACAGATGAGTTAGAGACAAAAAATAAAGCACCACATAAGGTATGCAATGAGTAATGTTCCTATTGCAGAGGAAATATCCTTATTCTATATTCTTTTCGGTTCCATTCAACTTTTCTGCTGCAGGTTTGTGTGGTCAAAGCTGGAGGAATGATATCGCTTGCAATTGATAACCATGGGGCCCTGTGGATGTGGGGCAATTGTCCACAACAAAGCAGCGGCAGTGAAGGAGGTTGGTCCTTTGTAAGTACTTTTACTCCAATTCCTGTCCAGGATTTCTATGGTCATATTGTTGTTAAGGTAGCATGTGGGAATGAGCATGTTGTAGCCCTAGTTAGTGCGGGAAAAACACATCAAGGTGATGATCTGGTATGCTACTCTTGGGGTAATAACACCCGTGGCCAATTAGGCCTGGGAGACAGAGAGGGCCGGCTTCATCCTCAAATCATTGAAACATTTAACAAGGACTCGCCATGGGCAGTTTATGGTGTAGCATGTGGTGCCTTCCACACAGCTTTACTTGCTCACAGGAAGAGCAGTAACAACACTCTTGAGAGTATTTGTTGGACATTTGGCCTAGGGGACAATGGGCAGCTTGGGCATGGAACCACAGAAAGTGCACAGGTTCCTCAACCTGTAAAAGAGTTGCCACAGTCAGTATATCTGGTATCTGTTGACTGTGGCTTGTTTCACACCAGTGTTGTTTCTTCCGCTGGAGAAGTGTGGTCATGGGGAATGGAGAAGGGGCTTGGTCTGTGCCCTAATGCTAGTTTTACCGGAACTGATGCAGGAGATGCTCTATCTCCCTTACTGATTTCTGGCTCACATGGACCTAAATTTCAAGGTCCTATTCAAGTTGCCTGTGGAGCTGCTCACACCATTCTTGTTGCACATGATGGATATAATCTGTGGTCTTGGGGTAGAGGAAGGAGTGGAGTTCTTGGAAATGGTGGAACAATAGACTGTTTTGCTCCTTCTGTTGTATTATGGCCTCCACTCAAAGAAGATTTCAAGCAAGAGGAGTTGAAATCTGCTACCAAAGCAGAAAATATTGAAAAGAAATGTTCTGAAGGAGACACTGAAACAAATGAAAGATTAGCGTCAGCCATGGAGGAGATGAAGCTCCTCCAATCAAAACTCTCCATTGTGGAACGATATGCCAGCATACTTCATGGTTCAATTTTCGGTAAACCTTTTGAAGAGCAAGATATACCAATCTCATTGCGAAACTCAGGTACTTTTGACATTGCAAGAGAATGGGAAAACATGTTGGAGTCAGCGGATCGAAGCAAGCTCCTTAGATTGGAGTCGTTCTACCGAAGCATGTTTTCTGGTGTTAAGGATAAGCTAATGGAGAAAAGAATCCAAGAGATTATAAAGGAGTGTCTTCGTTCTGATTCTACCACAACAGGAAACTAGCAATACTCATCATATCAGCCTAAACAGTTTCTCTTATGCCTGTGCCTTCTACTGTTTTATATGATACAAAAATTTTGTTGTTATATGTAATGTACTGAAACATGAATTTATTGTAATAAATCGTCTGTTATAAAAATCTTATGGATTCAATACAGTTTCATAGGATATATTTTGTGCAACATTGGTCTTGTTAGCTAGGTTATCTATGCCGGAGTTGAAGAGAAATGATAAGCACCTAACTACCATCGGATTTCTCATGAAAGTAAACTGTGATAAAACAAAATAAGAATCTTGAGCAAATTTTATGGTAACATGCAATGTACTGGAACATGAATTTATTGTAATAAATAATGTGTTATAAAAATCTTATGGATTCAATACAATTTCATAGTGTATTATTTTGTAAAACATTGGTCTTGGAAGCTAGGTTATCCATGTTGGAATTGAAGAGAAATAATCATTTAACTACCCTCGGTTTTCTCATGAAATTAAAACTTTGGTAAAAAGAAATGCAAATATTGGACAAATTTTATCAAAATTATAAAATAAAAATCTTTTAGGAGTTGTTTCTTTATAATTTTTTTTTGAATAAAGTGTCAAGAGTGAGATTCGAAGACTGTACTTTCAAGATAGTTTAAAAGCCACTTGACTTGAAGGATTAAGTGCTATTTTTTTATAATTTTAAATTATGTAATAAAAGTTAACTTTATTTATTCTTTAACTTCCTCGTGTGTGTGTGTATATATATATATAATGAACATGAGTACACCTATTATGATTTTAATTAGTGGATATAAAAAAATAAAAATTAAAACATTCTAACATTTTACTAACATTAAAACTCCACACTTGCTGACTTACTAACCACCCCCTTGCAAAACATGCATAGAATTAACCAACTTGAAATAAAAACCCAGGTCCGCTTCCTCTTTCTCCGGAAATGTTTCATACTGTTTAAAAATAATAATAAAAATTCATAAAAAATATTAAAATATACCTAATAATTTTGTATATATTAATTTTTTTTTTTTAAATGGATTTTACAAGGGGTTGGATTCGAACCCCAACCTTAAGGAGAATACAGCATGAGTGGTTATTACCATTGACCCGAAAAGTTCAGTGATTGTATATATTAATTTATTAAAAATATTTAAATAAATTTATATAAAGTAATCCTATTTTCACGTAATGCCGAAAGGTAGAAGTAAAAGAAGTAGTGGGGTACGGGAGCAGTAATTTTACTATTGTAAATTAATTAATGCCTCTTTTCCCCTCGTAATCAAACCTCCCAAAACCCTAACACAGCGCCAGTACTCGACAGTCTTCTGACCACTGCTAGCTCTCTGGCAAAAATGCCCGGTGTCGCTTCAGACTCCGGTGGTGGCGCTTCAGACTCCGGTGGTGGCGCTTTGGTTCCATTCAATCCGGAGGCCCAAGTCGCAGTGGTGTACCCGCTCCACCACGGACTCAAGCCTCCAGTTTCTCGGCTTTCCATCTCTTGGTCACGGGGTAACACCCTCCGCGTCTCCGTGTTCTGCCCCGAACCTTCCGTTGATGACTCTGGCGACGAACCTGGAGGGAAAGTAGTGGAGGTGAGGCTCGGAGGTGGAGGTGGTGAGATTAGTGACGCGCATTGGCGGCGGATCGCCTATGGTTCGGTCATTCCGTTTGCTCTTCTGCAGAGCAAGAAAAATGCTGCTTTAACCTTGTCCAAGATGTCAATGAATTCTTCGCCTTATAATGTTGACTGGTACCAAAATCTTAGCCAATTTTCCTTCAATTTTCTTCCTGATTCGTTTGGTTAGTAAGAAACTAGATTGATATGGAGGAATCAAAATGACAAACTGAGATGTGATTAACTCTTTCCTGTCGAACATTTTGATTTTTATTTTGTGCATGGATTTTCTGAGGAACTACTGGAACCTTTCGGTTCTAGCTGACCTTCAGTGGAACTTGTGTGATTTTAATTTTGTTAGAAGCTTATTATGCTTACTGAAAGAGTGAACTCAACCATTATTGAAGCATTTTTCTTGTACAGTTCTATCTTCAAAATTTATGTGGATTGTTTGTTTTGAATTGCTACAGGTTGGAGTACGTAATAGAGTACAGCAAGGACATAAATTTGCTTCTTGGGAATCCAAAGTTGCCTCCCAGTCCGGCAATAGATGACCCAAAGTCAGTTTTGAAGGTGAGTCTCTTCTTTTGTTGCCAAAGCTTTGTGTATTTGTACATTGGGTTTGAGTGTATTTAAAACTTCTTGAAACATTAAGGTTTCGACTTGTGAATCTAAGTGTGTTTATACTTGATGTTTTAGAAAGGAGAAGAACCAACCTCCTTGAAGGCTGCATGGGAGTTGTTGGAAATATTTTATGCAGATAAGCTTTCTCAAGTTTGGCTACCTGAACGCCTTGTTGATTGGTTGGCTGTAAATATCTTCCCTTCTGATATATGACTCCACATTTTGCATTATTTTGGCTGGAACGTTTCTTTAACTCATTATGGTTGTCTGGCAGGATTATGATTGTCTTCTCTCTGTATCACATTCAACAGTCCACTCAAAACTTCTGAGTTTTCAAGGAGAGCTTGTCAGACTGCAGGTGTGACTGAATTCTTTGGTTATTTCCAAATTTCAACCTTCTAATTTTATGGCACTTTGCTGGAGCATTCTGCGTAATGAAGTATTTGAGTCATAACTGCTTAATATGGGCTGTAAAAACTTCTCTTCCTTGTTTGATCATTTATTAAAAACAGTTATTTTCTTCTTCAGCTTCTTTATCTTTAGGTTATTGCAGTTATTGCTTGTCAGGGTATAGACCTGTCTATTTTCAGAGTGATTTCTTCTAAATTCTATTAAGACAATGGTGCATTTAATGGATTTATTCCATGCAGATTGTCGAGGATTATCCAAAATATTGGGAAGTCATGTCATCAGCTCTGGCAGTTGGTTGGCTAGAGATTGTGGTATGTAGTTTAATCATCTATTCTCTACAAGTCATGATAAATGCTTTTCATGTAAGATTTATCCAGCTAGAGATTTACATTTGCATTTCCACTTGTAGGTGAAAATGTTGCGTTTGCATGGATCGTATCAGCTGGATCAACTCAGCAATCGTGAGGTTGGTAAGGAATTGGTTTATTATTTATTCTATTTTATGAAAGGTGCACTTCTGAGTTCTGACATACTTGATTTTCTCAAGTGCCATCAGAGCCTGGACATATTACTTACTCAAGGAAACTGTTTCTAGCTTAATGTTTACTAATCTTGGGAACTCCTCCATGGCTGATTACTAGAGTTAGATCAATGCAGGCCTTAGGAATTTGCACTACTGAGTATTAGTTAGTTATCTACCCTCTTCTTTTATATCTTATTCCAACGCCACTGAATTTGCTCCCGTTTCTCAGTAGCCTGGCTTGCCCCTCCCATAAGAGTAAAAAATATCTCTGTTGGGTGAGGGTTCAGATCTTCATGATTTTCTTTTATAATAATCTATCCACCAGGCCAGTATTGGAGAAAGCAGGAGCCCTTTAAACTAAGATATGACAACCTGAAGTACTTTTATTATTGTATATCAGCAAAATCTACAAGTCATTTTAATGAATCCAATGTTTATTTGGCAACTCCTGTCTTTGAACTTTATGCCCCATATCAATGTGTTTTACTTTTCTTAGGCTCAGTGCACTCTTCTTTTTTTTTTTTTGTTTTCTTAAATTGCATGAATGTGCATGCAATAACAAAATTCTTTGCATGCTTTTATATTATGCATGTCTTCTGTCATTGAACAGACAGAGAATGGTCTGGTAGAAGCAGTTGCTGTCCTTATTTCAAAGATGCCACGCATGCGACCTGAGTTAGAATCTGGAAAATTAGGTGAATGCTTTAAGACCAAGCCTGATTTTATGAAGGTATTTTAGATCTCTCGATTTTTTGATGCTTTTCTCTTATCACAGTTTTTGATCTACTGCTTCCCTGGTTTATTCATTCAACTCTTTCTTTGACCTAGGCATGGGAGAAATGGAGGGCACAGTTAAATAAGCTGGAGTTAAGTGCATTCTGGTTTCAGTGTTCTCACCAACAGACTCGTGAGGGCTTGAGAAATATGTTGCAAATAATGTTGGGTAATGCCAATAGTCTCAGCACTGCAACATTTAACTGGATTGAGCTTTATATTTCCCACTTACTATACATCAGGCCGTTCACTATGGTATGTAGCCTTCTGTACCTCTTTGAGTTTCAAATATTTTTACATATTTTTAAGATTATGGATCTCAAAATTTTTATTATAGAGTGTTTCAATTGCAATACAAACTTTAAAGCAATGATTTGATTTCTTTTTCTTATATCAGGGGTTAGAGAGCCTGTATAGCTTGGCCCAGAAATGCATTCAATTGAAACCAATGGCCGGTGCCCATAGTTTGATGGGACTTATCATTGGAATTCTCGGGGAAAATTCTGAGGTGAGATGTGGATTGTAGTCTATTAGTTATTGTAGTCTATTAGTTGACATTCTCCATGGAATCATTTTCTTTTATCTAAAATGTGATTAGGTTTTACAAATTTGCAGGTTGTATTAGCAGAATGCTCTAGAGGATTTGGCCCTTGGTAAGCTGCTAGTTTGTTCTCTATCAAATGTTCTTTTTATGTTCTGTATTTGAAATCTCTATTTGTGTGTCATTTTTCTAGGGTTCATTTCTAGTGAGTCAACAATCAGAAGTTGAAATGATAGAACTGAAGCTGGTCACACTTGTTGTTTGTTTTTAATTAAAATGTAGCTTCTAAGTTTTGTGTATTTTCAGGATGGTTGCCCACGCAATCGAGTTGCTGACAGCTGGGAGTGATCATGCAGAAGTGCTATTACATCAAGAGTGTCTGAACTTAGGTGGAATAAGCTTGGAGGAGCTTCATCGACTTGTATATGCTCAAGTCTTATCATCCCATGCATTAACTTGGCAAGTAAGTGGACATTACTTGATTCCGTGTGTCAACATGGTTGTCCATCTTTAGTTTCTAACTTGTTGCAGAGCACACTAAGTCAAACTTTCAATGTAATAATTGTTGTTTTTATTAAGCTTTCCATATTTGTTGCTTTGACTTCCACAGATTGCTCCAATTTATTTGACATCATGCATGAAACAAGGAATGGGCCTCTTAGAAATATTGTTATCCAAGCAGCCTGTTCAACATAATCATTTGTTGCTTAAGGTTATATATTCATATTTTTTTATGTTATCCATCTATTTTATTTTTCATTTTCAAGTTCAAAGTCTTGTTAGTTATTAATAGACAATGTTATTTTGTATTGCTTGCAGAACATTGAGATTTGCCGTCTTTATGATCTTGACAGCATTAGTTCAAGCATTATGAAGGTATAAGTTTATGTAACTTTGGAGGGCATTTAACATTTTCTTTTATTTGAAATGCAAAACTCATTTATTTTAGGTAATTCTGTGTTTGCCCCTGAATGGTTTAGCCTGGCTCATGTGTGATATGCCCTGTGTTTGCAGTCCTATCAAAGTTAAATTTTTGTTCAAGTAGCATGACATAAATTCTGAATTTATGAGCATTTCAGTTAAAAACATTTAGTGTTTAATGTTTAGATCTCTGGAGTTTACCATTGGAAGCATGGTAGGAAAGATTCTGGAGTTTTCTGGCTTCAGCAGGCTCGGGATGAGGTTCAGCTTAATAGGATAGCACAGCAGTTATTTGATTCTGTTGGAAAGACAATCTCTGATGAGAGTTTTAAGGTAATTAATCAGTGTAGGAACATTAAAGTCAGTCTTTTATCATTCTATCTCTTTTCCATTCTTGCAGTAAATGATTTTTTACATCGAAAATTGATTTTATTTATGAATAATACTAATATGAATAGTTTCTTTTTCCACACAGCAATGGGAAGGTCTAATTCAATTGTTGGGTTCTGAATCTAAGACTGCTGGTGGTCTAGAGTTTCTTCATAAGTATGAGTTCTAGTATTATTATTTGTTCTTGGCATTATGTTTCTTTAATGTTTTGTTTTCTCTCTGCAGTTCTTTCAGCTGTATTTCTAACATTTTGTGCATCACAGGTATAGGGATTTCAAGAAATCGCTTCAACAGGTTTGTGATGGAAAAACTACAGATGCAGCTCGGCAAGCTGTGGAATCACTTATATCAGTATGTATTGGGGTTCTCACACACCAACTTTTTATATATTTTGATATAGTGGCTGGTAATTGCATAGACTGATGGAGGACTTATTTCTATAATTTGAATTAGTTGATAAATGTTTTATTTTGGAACTGCAGCTTATGAAAAATCCTTCTACTCCGCAACGCTTTTGGCTGCCTCTTCTTCATGATTCAGTGAGCTATCAATTATTATATTGTTCTGTGCAGTTTCTTAAGATTGAAAGCAATCATCCAAATTACCTACGTATGCTAACTCGACACTGAATTCCATCACTGGTTTGTGTGCAGCTGAAACTGCTTAATTGGCAAGAACGTCCCCTGCTCAATGTATCTCAGACAAATCTTCTATTGAATAAACTACAAGAGTTGTCCCTGGCAAGGCTACGCCCGGACTTTATTGAAGCTGACTTACCCCCTGAGGGTTTAAGCTCCATTAGACTAGCTCTTGCCACAAATCTTGGTCGCGCCTTCCTAGAGGAATGAGTTTTTCTTTAGTTTGAAGAATTCAATTCATCTTGCCAGCAGCACTTTCAAATCTCATGTTGCCAGAAGCACTTTCAAATCTCATGTTGCCAGAAGCACATTACATTTGCATTATCTTGCCCAAGCGTTGTGTACGCTGAAGCTTTTGCATGTGCCTCCACTCTACAGGGAACTTGCACTCAATTATAAATTATGAAGGGTGTGCCTCATGTACCTAAACACCGAGGCCATCAGAATCGAATGATGGTGTTAGGTTTGCAAGGTTAAGTGTTACTTTTTGTTGTCCTTTGAAAGTTGGTAGCTACCTTAGAAGTAGTGGGATCCTCCACCTTTTATTCTTTGGAAAGGAGTCTAATCTAATGGTTGTATAGTGTGATGTGTGAAACTGACTCAAATTTTTAGACTTTGTGAAAATATTTTCATTTGGTACAAGCTCAGCTGGTAACAAGTCTAAGATAATAGGGAAAAAATGAACGCACCGAGTTTAAAGATTTCTTTTAAAAGATTCACTCTTTGATTTAGTTGTTTTAATTTAATTTAATTAAAATATATAGTAAATAAGTAAAGGATGAAATTCTTTTTTCTATTATACATAGTTATTATGGTGTAATTTACTTAATCAAAAAAAAATTCTTTTTTTTATTTTTTTCTTTTGAACAAGTGATCAAGGGCAGGTTCGAACCACCAGGGAGGAGAGAAGTGCACCTCCAAAGTAATCCAAAGGCCACTTAGGTGCAAAAATTTTTTTAATTGTTATTTATTTATTATATATATAAAATCATCTTAGACCAACTACTTTGGACCAAAGGGAGTAGATTAGAATCATAGGCACTGAATGTGCATCTAGAAATGCCCGCACGCAGCAGGCATTATGGCACCAAGAAAAATTGGACTAATAAACCTTATTCTGACGGCAAACAATAAAAGACTGATTTATTATACACACTGAATAATATGCCTGTAATGGGGGAAAAAATGTTGCTAATGCAATAGAGAACGAAGCAAATAGAATTCAGGGGACAAAACAATATAAAATTCATTAAATACAATGATATAATGAATATCCACCCACCTCTCCCATGCCAGCCTCCGAAAGGTCCCCATTTTCGTCTGTAATTTGCATGTTCATCAACTCTGCAGTGTGGTGACTGGCAGCCGGAGAGGGCATCCCGATGTACTATACAAGATCAGTGCTACTGCAGCCAACCAAGCATCATATCTTAGCCATCTCCCTAAGTAAATAAATACATTTAGAACCACGAATATTCTGCGAGTCAAATTACTACAAAAGAAGCAGCTTTCCTTGGTTGCCGGGCACCGTAACTAAAGGTCATTATTTCTTAGGCAGATTGTAGGTCTTCTTGAGGAACTTTGAAGCTGCCTCATCATTCCGGTAACATAGTACGCGTAGGAGTGTGTTTGGCTCAGTTGGATTCCACTGCCCTGATGTTGGAGGTAATGGGAGTCTGGACTTTGCTGATGACCCGTATGTCTCCAGTGTCACTCGTCTGAAACGCTCAATTAGGCTCTCTGTATCTGTTCGGAAGAGGGCAAGCACACCCCTAACAGTACCTGAATACTTATCTATAAGGTCAGCTGGCAAACCGTCACCATTGGCCCAAAATAGATCTTTAAGGGCTTTGAAATCATCCTCTAATATCTGAGAGTCCTGCCGAGAGAAAGCACGAGAAGGTCCTCCAGCAAGTAAAACCAGCAAGAACCCATCAAAGGAAGCTCTCATGATATCAGTTATAATTCGTGTACGTACTCTTTCATGCACAGTGTCTGAAGTGATCAGCAAGGTTTGCTCCAGCTCTTGGAGGAGGGGATCAATCCTAGAAGATGATGGCTCCCCTACATACAAACCATCCCATAAAACATGGCTTAGGTCATGGAAAATGATTTTGTAAGCTACTGCCTCAGAGAGTTGTTGAACCCCTTCCACACAAGCCGCAGGTGTAAGTTCAAATTTCTTGCTCAAACCATTTGAAAAGTCTTCTACATGTGCAGATTCACAGTTCCTCAAGTGGGTTATTATCCTCCTCTCAATAACTTCCATCTCAGTCCGGAGCTGGTGCAAAGTATTTATACGAACACAAAGCTGTGGCAACCCGAAGGAACTATCTCCATTCATTGTTGCAACCTGAGAATTTCTCTTCTGAGAGTTCGGTAACTTCTCTTTCTTCTTAAACACACCCAACTTTGAACCTGTTGTACATCTGGTCAATGCTGGCATAGTAGGGATATACGTATTCCGTGATCCTACATGTAAGATTAAAATGATAGAACTGATTAGAACCGTTGAAACCTTAAAACTGTATACTGACAATCAAAAGGCTCAGCAAGCGTTTTACCACAGCCAGATTTTGCCTTGGTTGCATAATATTGAAGACATTTGTCAAGACCAGACATCAAATCAGGTAGCAATGCAGGATGCATAGGTATTGGCAACTGAAAGAATGAATCTAAAGTTTCATCAATAATTCGCAACATTTCAACAGCAGAGGGAGCATATCCTTCTTGGTTTGCTTGTGGATTCCAAACCTATCATATTGCATTGAACAGGTTAGCCCTCAGCTCAGAAGACATCAATAATAGATATGATAAGTGCCAAGGAAAAGGAGCAGAACCAGAAACTTCTTAGAAAGCTATAAATCAATTGAATGAAGAATTAAAATTTTGCATTAGATAAGCAATTACAATAGGAAAACTAATGACCATGGAAGACCAGTGCCAGAATTTGTAGAATTTATGGGTGGAAATCCTAAAACTTTGCATATAATTCTCATAAAGCAGAAAGAACAAATACATGATGAACCGCTACAAACCTCTTGCTGCAAATTCCTATCAACCCATTCTTTAAGTCTGTCTAACTTAGACTTCATCCACAATTTAACCAAATTGGCAATTGCAGCTTCTGCCTCATAAGGAGGCATCTCACGAATTATAGCCTTCCCACCATCATCACAGTCTACAGAATCCTCAACAGCAATTTGCACAAGATCTTTCTCCAGTTTATCTGCAGCTCTCAAAACTTGTACAGCGTCTGCTGTTAACTCTGTTATGCTTGAAATGAACTGTTTTAGCTCATTTCCATAACAAGCATGAAGTGTGGCCACAGCCACACCTGCTGCAAAAGGATGCCATTTCTTCAGTATCGGGCTGAATACCTGCTTCTCATTAACTGCAAGCTCACCAACATCCTTAGCAAGGATTGCAAGGACAGGAAGGGGATTGGGCTGGTTTCTGGAGGCTCTCCTGCTTGAGTCTGCTTTCTCCATTCTCTATATATAATGACAAACAAAGCATAATTAACCATCTAATGAAGAAATAACAATAAGGTAGATAGCAGGGAAGCTGATATGAAGAGATGTTAAAAAAAGGAGAGTACTTATTCATATGTTGTAGAGGCTATTATTCTTTAATCTATTCATTCATTAAAGGCTGTTAAGTTGGAATGTTCCATGTGACATGAAGAGATGTTAAACAGCCACAAGTCTCATTCAAATGCAGTCTTTACTACTCATTCACCAGGGACTAAAATCTGGCTGGTTGATAGTAACAAATGACACATAAGATAGAGACTTGCCTGAGCAAAAGCAGTGCGTAATGATGACCTAATATAAGTGTCAACTCTGTTCCAAGCTACATCAACTTCTCCTTTCCTCTTTCTGCGATACTCAGTTGATAAATCCTCAACCAAAATTTTGGCTGCCAATACTCCCAAGGAAACAATGCCCTGCATGCTCCCAATATTTACACTATCAAAAGTGTCATGGTATGCAAGAAGCCTTTTCTCTGCCCAGCCCAGCATTGAACTCAATGTAGAACTTAAAATCTTGGAGTAATCTGGATCTTTGGTCACCTTCACATCCTTTGCCACTTCTGCTAGTTGGCTATCAGCAGCGTACAACAGGTCCATTTCCACCTGCCCAGTTGCAACAAAACGTTGAAATAGAACCCATGTAAAACAAAGGTTATGGAGCACCTGGTTGATTCCAAGGATTCCCCAAGTCTTCTTTATATGCTCCATAAGTTCATCTACTTCCTCAATAATAGATGTTTCATCATTAATATCAAAACATGATTCCAAAAGCATTTCATAGAGTCTGAGATTCAGAGGAAAGCCATCAGCCCAGTGGCATGAATCAGAGAGAGACCCATCAGATCTGCAAGCAAGAGACATAACAGCACTGCGAAGAACTTGCATTGACTCATTGTTCTTTCCAGTTTCTATTGGTCTATCTAGGGCTGCATGAATAATTTGGCGTAGCCGCTGCGAATTGGTATTTGACTTATCAAGTGGCACACGAGGATGCAAAAGTAGTCCAGCCTCAAGAACCTTCAGGTTTCTTTTCTGCCAAGCTTCATATTCTTGTTGATCTGTAAAATCTGAAGACTTGAGCTGCTGTAATAGCTCTAGTGGAAGAACCACGGACTCAATTCGTTTTCCAACCTGCAATGTAATAATAAGTAACTTAATCGTAGACCCTGATGAAATGACTCTGAAATACCACTAATTCATCCACAAATTGCTTTAATTTAAGGCAGTCCACATCGACAAGATATGGAAATTCCTTGCAGAAACGTATAAGACAGTTTGGAAGTTAGTGATTAAGTAGGATTAAGTTCAAATTTCAAAAGAAAATAAGGAACCTTTAATTCTACTTCTACTGAAATTTACGCAACTATCAAACATTAATAGAATAATTCTGGAATCCTGTTATTAAGAAATTTCATAGTAACACCACTAACGATCCCTTCAAGCATCGTTCTCCTCGGATCCAACCACATCAGCATCAACAATTCAATAAAAAATTCACTTAGATTCATAAAATCCAAAAATCAGCACGGGATCGAACAAAAATTTGAAATTGAACACCATTAGGTCGGAAAGATAAGGAATGAAATCGCTAGAATCAACAAGAGGAAACAGATCAACAAAATATAACAAAAAAACAAAATTGAACTGACCTGGCCAGCGACGATCCTCAAGAGAGCTCTCCTCACTCGTGAATCAACAGCCTCCGACACCCGCATTTGCTGCCTCATGAGCTCACCGACAGTCGTCGGTCGCTTGGACTTGGCGTACCCCGAGCCAGGCCCGGAACCCGGACTCTTTTTAGAGCCGGAAGAAGAACCGGGGGATTTCAACCCTAAAGCTTTCTTCATTTTACTAGCAGCTGCAGATGTAAGCGAACGCTGCACGGCGGGAGAGTGGTTACTAGGCGAGTTGAGGTTAGGTGAGTCCAAATTGGAAGAAGCGGAAGTGGAGAGAGGTTTGGCAGAGGATGTGCGGCACACAGCAAGGAAAACGTCGAAGGCGGTGAGGCGGAGGTCGGAATCGGTGAGTTGCGAAGCGAGTTGGCCAAGTGGAGATTGGAGATCGGAGGCGATGAGTCTGGTCGGTGGCAATATTTGGAGCGGTGGCGGTGTCGGTGGCGGTGTTGACTCCCTCTTGGAGTGGCCGAGAGATAGGTCCCTGAAGAGATGCGCCATTGCCGTGGAGATAGATGGAGACGGAGTCAGAGCATCGATTGTTGGGAGGAGTGAACGTGAGCAGAGAAAGGGAGAACTAGTGTCTACGACCTGTTTGCTTGTTGGGAATTTTCTCCGAATTCTTTTTTGATGCAGACGGTGAAAAATAAAAAATAAAAAAACCAAAATAAATTTAAGGTATTGTTTGGATTGGAAGTGTTGGATGGAGAGGGAGGTGAAGGGATGGGGACGGATGGCAAGGGAGGGAGAGCGAGGGGTTGTCTCCTTCCTTCTGTTTGGGTTTCCAAAGAAGCAGAGGGGGAGGAAGATGGATTGATTCGGACTCTTCCAACGGACTGATTCGGACTCCCTCCAATCACTCTCAAATTTGTAGATTTGCAATCCGTCCGATTTGAGGGGTTTGAGAGGGATTTGAGTGATTGTTTAGGTTAAATTAAATGTAATTACAAAATTAACCTTAATTTTTTTATTATATCTTTCTCCATTACAAGCTTAAAAGATAAATTTGTAAATTTAAAATTAATTTAAATCTTTATCTTCCTTCCCCTTTTTTTTACCTTAATTATCCAAACATAAAATAATATAATCATTCCCTTCCCTTCCCTTCCCCTTCCTCATTTTTATTTATCCAAACAAAATTAACACAAATCATTTCTTTTTATTTTCTTCCCTTCCCTTTCTTTTTCTCTCCCTCCATCTCCTTTTATTTTCCTCCATTCCCCTCCCTTCCCTTCCCTTTACTATTTTTCATCCAAACAAGGGCTAAAGGTACATGACAAGATGCCCACCATCCCATTACTTGTATTTTTTATTATAAAATAATATAATTATAATATTATATTATATTTAAATTAATACATATTAATTTAACCCTTAAAAATAATTAAAATTTTAATTTGTATCTAAAAATTAAAATTTTATTTTATTAAATGTTAATATTTATATTTAAAAATTTATTATATATTTTAATATAATTAATTTTAAATTTAAATGTCAATATTTAATAAAATTATTTTTTAAATTTTAATTAAATAAAATGAAATAATTTAAAATTAAAACTCCAATTTATTTTAAAAATCAAGATTGATATACATTTTCTCATATTGTAAATTTATAAGTAAATAATTTATTTTTTCATTCATTTAAATTAATGTTATTATTATAAATTTATAATTGTAAGTAACATTATAATTATGATTTCATCATTTTTATTATTTCTTTAAGACTTGATATTAGGATGATACTTAACAATCTTAGGGTTTTATTGTTAATATTTTACTTTATATAATAAAATATTTTGAATATAAATCCAAAGAATATGGGTAAAAATGATATTACGAAATAATATAATTGTAATATTATGTAATATCGTAAATATACAGGTAAATGGTTTATCTTTACACTCACTTAATTTAATATTATTATTGTAAATTTATAATTTTAAGTTATATTATAATTATTATATTATCATTTTTACTATTTTTTTTAAGACTTGGTAGCTAACATTCTTAAAGTTTTATTGTTAATATTTTATTTTCTATAATAAGAGATTTTGAAATTAAATCCAAAATATACCAGTAAAATCAATAAATTGGTAGGGAAGGTTAGGTCTTACTACACGTGGAATTGAATATACAACATTCACTCTCAAATTTATGTTCTTATGTAATCCAAAATAAATAAATGTATATATATATTAAGATTCTAAAATAATCAAGTAATAATCTTTGATTGTAATTTAAATATTTAAATTTACTTACTATGGTATATTGTATTTGGGATATCTCAATTAATGTAATTTATTTTTTAAACATCATCTATCATAAAGTTTATTTAAAGACTGTTGCATGCAAACAATTAATTATAGGTTAAATGTTTGTATTGGCTAAGATTCACTTGTTAAGACACCTCTTGCAACCTCAAGTGTTACATTTTTATTTTTTTAAAGGAATTTTTTAAAAGAAGAATAAATAGGAGTAAACAATAATGTTATATACTACAAAAATAATAAACAATTTAAGGGTTTTTTTTTTTTTTGGTTAATGGAGTGTCTTTAAGTTAATTTTTTTATATTTTAAGACAAAATTTTCTTTTAAAGATTATAAAAACGTATCTCACCATAATCTGATACATTAAACAAAATTTATTTTATTGAAGTTAATTTTTTTTTTATTATAAGAATTGACTTGATGGTCATATGCTGCCATTCATCTTGCTTTTTATATAAAAAAACGTAACCACTTAGATCACGTGTGAGTGTTTTTATAGAACCTACTTAGAACTTAAATACTAGATTATTTCGTCAAAAAAATAAAATAAAATGAGCATTTACTAGTGCTAGGAGAACCGAACAAACAAACACTGCACAATTTAACAAGAAGAGAATAAGCATTTCACCCATATGGTCACTGTTATTATGCTTTTTATTGAGAAGTAAGTGAAAGTACCCTGATGGTCTACAAGTCAAGTCTATATTTCTTCATTCTTGAATGCAAATATTAATATTATTAATGTAGTTTTATTTAAGAAAAAAAAAAAGAGCACTTGGACTTCTAACTCAAGTGGTACCAAATCACGTATAAATGCATTATTTCACCTTCAACCTTCAAGATAATTGTTTAAATTTGATTTTTTGTGAATTTGTTAAAAAAAAAGTGTGATGAGGTGGAAATGCACGCAACTCGAAACAAAGAAAGAGAAGGGCGTGAGACGCCACCAACTTTATCACGCGTTTGGGAGAAAAACCACAGGGAATGAATATATGGAATCGAAGCTGGAACAACGAGGCAAAGGGTTGGACGATCAACTGTCATCCTTGATTGGTGGGGACACATGCGACCAAACATCAAAATATTTAACCAATTAAGACAGCGCCACAATATCTTGTGCCTAAATTTTGTACAACTATTATTGTCCTTAATTGCGACAACCATAAAATGTTCCATACTTTTTTATCTAATTTATTTTTAAAATTAATCTCCGATTATTTAGGAATTATATTTGATTTTGCCTAATTTGATATTGAATTACCTTTAAATTTTAGGAATTCTTCTATTTATACCTTAAAAATACATAATAAAAGTGTAATAAATATATTTTTTATAATTAATTTTTATTAAAAATATAAATATTAATTTTAATTTAATTAATTAATAAATTAGAGTCATTTATGTATCAGTAGTGTTAAAATATATATCAATTTTTATAATTTTTAATGTAAATTA